CCTGCAACCCAAAAGAATTCCATGGAACCGAGGGAGCCGTAGGATTATTGACTTGGATAGAGGGTATGGAATCTGTCCTCCATATCAGTAAATGCACTGAGGCAAACAAGGTAGAATATGCTGCATGCTTACTACAAGGCCGGGCACTGACTTGGTGGAATACTTTAGTGCAAACTAGGGGTCGGGAAACGGCTAACCAACTTTCTTGGGAAGAATTTAAGAAACTACTCAAGGATGAATATTGCCCAAGAAGTGAACTCCAAAAGTTAGAAATGGAGTTATGGAATCATGAAATGAAAGGGGAAAATATAGTTGCATATACGGCTCAATTCCATGAGTTAGCAAATCTAGTACCACATCTAGTGACACCGGAKGAASTCCGCATTGARAGATATATTTGGDGTTTGTCTCCGGAGATTAGAGGAAACATCACCTCGGCAAATCCAAAGACCCTTCGAGAGGCGATAAATATTGCTACCAAACTTACAAATAATATTGTTCGATCTGGAGAATTTGCCAAGGGAAAGAGAAAGATAGAGGAACATAGGAGCCAAAGATCTGGGGGAAGATCTGACAAGAATAGGAAAATGGTAGGAAATTTTGGAGTACAGACCCAAGTGGTAAAACCAGGAAACAAACCCAAGTGCAATAAATGTAAATATCCGCACTGGGGAAATTGCACCACTTGCCAAAGATGCCACCAAAGGGGTCATCTTGCAAAGGATTGTCAAAAGTGATTATGTTATGAATGTGGAAGTCCATATCATATGAGGAATGTATGTCCAAGGAGAAAACAAGGAACAATTGCTAACCAAAACCGACCAATCAATCAAGGAACCCAGAAAGTCAAGCACGGGACCGAGCATTTGAGATCGGAGCAAAGGAGGCTAAGCATGATCCAAATGTGGCTACAGGTACATTTCTTTTGAATAATGAATTTGCATCAGTATTATTTGATTCAGGAGCAGATAGAAGCTTTGTATCATTAGATTTTAAGCCAAAGATTAACATAAAGCCTCAAAGGTTGAAAGAAGTTTACATAATAGAACTTGCCAATGGTCAAGAAATTAGAGCTAGGGACATAATCATCGACTGCACTCCAAGTTTAGCCGAAAAGGATTTTAGCATAGATCTTATTCCGATTGATCTAGGAAGTTTTGATATAGTTATAGGCATGGATTGGCTATCCAAAAATAAAGCTGAAATAGTTTGTTCGAAAAAGGTTATCCGAATTCCTCAAGAAGGAAGTGACTCAATTGTAATTCGTGGAGACGAGTCAGATCGAAAAATTAGGATAGTATCATGCATGAAGATGCGAAAGTACTTAAAGAAGAATCATGTTGCATTTTTGGCACATGTTATTGATAAGAAGGTCAAAGAGAAATGTATTGATGATTTCCCTGTAGTTCGGGAGTTTCCTGATGTATTTCCCGAGGATTTACCAGGACTACCCCTGCCAAGACAAGTCGAATTCGGTATCGACTTAATCCCTGGAGCTGCCCCAGTGGCAAAAGCATCATACCGATTGGCTCCATCAGAAATGCAAGAATTGTCAGGTCAACTCCAAGAATTATTGGATAAAAGATTCATAAGATCTAGTTTCTCACCATGGGGTGCACCGGTTCTATTCGTTAAAAAGAAAGATGGGTCAATGCGAATGTGCATTGATTATAGGGAACTTAATAAGATGACCATCAAGAATAGATACCCTCTTCCTAGAATCGATGATTTATTCGATCAACTCCAAGGTGTTGTTTACTTTTCAAAGATCGATCTACGATCCGGATATCATCAAGTGAAAATTCGAGAAGAGGACACCCCAAAACGGCATTTAGGACCCGGTACGGTCATTACGAATTTTTTGTTATGCCATTCGGGTTAACCAATGCACCGACGGTCTTTATGGATCTGATGAATAGGGTTTGCAGACCATATTTGGATAAATTTGTAATCGTTTTCATAGACGACATACTAATTTATTCACGAAGTAAGAAGGATCATGAGCAACACTTGAGAATGATATTAGAACTACTTAGGAACCAGAAATTGTACGCAAAATTCTCCAAATGCGAATTCTGGATTCATGAAGTACAATTTCATGGTCACGTGGTTAATGAAAAAGGGATTCAGGTGGATCCTACGAAGATTGAGGCCATAAAGAAATGGGAAGCCCCAAGAACCCCGACAAAAATTCATCAATTTCTTAGTTTGGCAGGCTACTATCGGCGATTCATTGCGAATTTTTTCAAAAATTGTGCAACCACTCACAGCTTTAACTCAAAAAGACAAGAAGTTTGTTTGGGGAGAAAAACAAGAAGAGGCATTCAAGACTCTTAAGAATAAACTATGTAATGCACCTATTTTATCTTTACCAGAAGGTTCAGAAAACTTTGTGGTATATTGTGACGCATCACACCAAGGATTAGGATGCGTACTAATGCAAAAAGATAAAGTCATTGCATATKCCTCAAGGCAACTCAAAGTGCATGAGAAGAACTATACTACGCATGACCTAGAGTTGGGAGCCGTAGTATTTGCACTTAAGATTTGGAGACACTACCTTTATGGTACCAAGTGCACTGTGTTCACTGATCATAAAAGCCTTCAACASATCCTCAATCAGAAGATGTTAAATATGAGACAAAGAAGATGGGTTGAACTACTTAGTGATTACGACTGTGAAATTAAGTACCATCTCGGCAAAGCAAATGTGGTAGSCGATGCTCTAAGTAGGAAGGAAAGAGTGAAACCAACAAGATGTCCCCGAGCCGTGGTATTTGTGGATAGCCGCTATTGTGTTGACAGTCCCACCCAGAAAGGGGTGCACATTACCTACGTTTTATTAGTCTAATCATGTGGAATTTGGACCACCGCTGAATTAGTACTGTTACGAACTGTGGGACCTAAGTGAGTATACGGGCTACTTATGGTCGCTCATAAAATAATGGGACACATTGGTCAGGAAAGGCTCAGTAGCGTCTCAAGTTTTAAACATCGTTATAGATTTACATTTATCGGGTGCAAGTTCATGTATTAGTTTGCAAGAAATGATTTATGCATTGTAAATAGTTTTGTGCATATGAAAACCTGTGAACTCACCAACTCCTTGTAGTTGACGTTGTTTTATGTTTCATGCTTTTCAGGAAGTAAGTAAAGAAGTGAAGTTTTTGGAGCATATTTGTAACAACAATGATTTTGTGTATTTTGTAAACCTTGTTTTGAAGTATTCAAACACCAACTTGGTTATGGCTGTAATCTTGTAAAAGTTATGGTGTTATTTATTATCTGTTGTTGTGACACGTTTACCTGTTACATCTCGTGTTTCCGCTTTAACGCGGTGTGACACCTATACACAAGACAAAACAAAAAATCCGAGCCAACCTCCAAGTAATCCATCTGCTTCTCAAGAATACTCATCCCTGCCATTCCCAAAGCCTACATGCCTAACACCGAAGATTTTTCCACCTTTGCTCAACTAAATGAAGTGAAGGCAGACATGGTAGATTTAAGGTACATGACAATGTTAATAAGGAGAGACCTTCGGGAGATGGGCTGCAAGAAACAAATTGGGTCATCCAAAAGGAAACATGATGAAGATAATGACTTTGATGATGAAGAGAATTGTAATAATGAAGAGAGGGGTAAAAGGATAAGGTTGGAAGAGCCAACAACATTGGGAATGACATCTAACGCAGATGCAACAGTTGAGGAAAATGTTGAAGGGCAAGCTGATGATGAAGAAAGAATGGATGTAGATAATCATGAAGCAATAAATAATGATGCAGAGAAGATGGAAAGAGAAGAAACCGAAACCATTAGCATTCCAAGTTTAGATGGGGGGTTTAAAACCCAAAATGATGAGCTATAAGACAAGCATAAGGATATTTTTCAAAACTCGTGTCTTGCAATCATTCATTTTACCCCTCTAGATTCATTTTTTGAATTTATTTAACAAATTTTTTTTATTCCTTCAACAATTCAATCTCCAAAGCAAGAAGAACCAGCAGTACAGCCTTTGGATTCAGATGATTCTATAGGGGATGAATTGGAAATAAAGAAATCTGATGGTATGGTCTCTTTTGGGTATTTCAGCCACATATACCTAACAGACAATGAGGATAAAGTCCTGCTTGAACATGAAATTGATGGGAACTGGCATGGAGATGTGCAGATGATGACTCAGAGATGATAAAAAGGCTAAGGAGAAAAGGGTCAGAGCTGAATATAGAAAGTCCAATAGTTCAAGTAGCAAATTTCCACATCAGATCCTTTGCTGTTGTGGAATATTTGGATCTACAAGTAATTAGAGCGGACAATTGTGTATATCAGATATCCAGTGCCGATTTTTCGAGGTTAAAGCTACAAGATCAATTATTTCTGCTTAACTTTTTTCAAAAAACAAACATCTCCTGGGTTGAAGTGGAGTTGAGAAAGACCATGAGAATTTACATCAAAAATTTGGGGTTATATGATCTTCAAGTTGCATTAGATATAAACCTACCAAGGATTAATGCTCACAACCCTTTGGATGAAACCTTTGATAACATCCTTATGATGTATAAATTTGTACAATTGCAGCAGTCACGATACTACTTCCGAACTTCAACAATGAAATATGTACTCAAAGTTACAACATTTCCTCTGTTTACAACTGAAGGCCTAACGCATTTTACTCATACCATGGAGGAAGCCACTAATATACAAGAAGATATAAAAGAGAAGTTTTTGCACGAAATAAAGGAAAGGCTAAAACTTAGAAAATTGGTCAGAGATTGTCAAAGTCGGGTAATAATGGAGGAGAATCCCAAGAAAGCCTTGGAAAATGATGTCTCACTACCTTATGAGTATTTCATCTCTCCAACTTTGAGAAAGGTTGCTCCTTCATTAGTAGTGAAAGTGAAGGAAGAAGAAGAAATAAATCTGAATGAATGGTTTATTGAATTCAAATTCTGGAATTTATTAATGTCAGAAAGGAATTTCAAAGTAAAAACCTATGTGGATATCTTTACAAGAAAGTCAAATGTATTAAAGAGACAGTATGTAGCTTTCATGCACATAATACGGAAGTTCAGAAGAGATGTCTACTTAGAGTTGAATATTACAAAGCTGGTGGACATCAAACAGAGAACTTGGAACAACATAGTATACCAAGTCTTCATTGTTGAGAGAGAAGACAAGGATTTATGAGTTCTCTGAGGCTGATTTTATATTCATCAACCTTAAAGATCTGCTTCAACTCTATTACAAGCTAGCTCCATTTGAAGACAAGGCTGCGAAGTTCAGAAATGGATTGACTGTTGTTGTTCATGGCATTCTTAGAGCTACCTTAATGTAGGATTTTTGATGAATACTGCAGCCCCTTCATGTAGGATTTTTGATGAATACAGCAACCCCTTCATGAAGTAAACTTTTGAACTTGGGCACCCATTTTTGTATTACATTGGCATGTATCTTAGTCCCCTAAAAACATCAATATGCAATAAGACTGAGTATCAATAATACGAAAATATTACCAATCTGAGGTAATAAGAAAATATGATGAATGCAATACTAAAGATTCAAAAAGAAATAAGAATTTACATGTTCATCCATTAATATCATCTCGGTGGAATATCTTTCATCATGATTTTTAAAAAATGGTTGATTTCATAATCGAATTATTATGACCTTTACAGTGAAATCATCTTTTTGTATGTCAAGATCTTTAATCGGAGTAACATTCCACACATCCATTGTTCTGTAGATAGTAAAAAATATTAATCAATTAATCATAAGTAAGAACTTACATAGTGTATGGAACTTAATATACCTTACAGCAGATAAACAGCTACTGTTGACTATGACCATTTGAAGCTGAAAATTGTTGCCAATTTCAGTGTTGAAGAGTGCCAAAATTCAGCCACAATTTAAATGCACTGTTGATAAGAAGAAAACGGAATTTGAATCCAAAGTTAAAACTAATTCCCGATTTTTTTGGGATTACAATAGAAAATGCATAAAATTTTGATTTTTGAAATAAAAGTATGCTAATTGTGAAATAGATGAGGAAGAATCGAAATCTGAATTGAAACTTAAAACTAAATCCCTATTTTATTGGAATTACAATAGGGAATGGATAATTGTTTAGCCAGACATATAAGATTTGTGATGTGGAACTTAGTGACGTGGAACTTACATAGTGATGTGGAACTTACATAGTGATGTGGAACTCTTGTTTTCTACCGGACCTAAAAGTGTCATTCATTATATAGATAATTGTTTTCCAGACATATAAGATTTGTGATGTGGAACTCTCAAGAACATTAAAGATATCAGATTTCTGAGTTTGAAGGACACTCATAGTTCAAACTTGTACATTGATCATTATCAAAACTAAGAAAAAACCATAATTGACACTTTTAGGTCCGGTAGAAACTCTGAAAACCAAGAGTTTGTAGCAGTCTTGTAAGTTTGGAAAATAAGTTTGAAGAGTTGTTTTATAAGTCTGGAAAATAACTCCACATTAGAGATGGACAAATCAGCCCGGCCTGGCCCGTGACCGCCGGAGGACCTGGATCGGGACCGACAAAAGACCGGCCCGGCCCGGGACCGGTAAGGACCGGTTATGGGACCGAAAACCGGGACCGATTGAGGTTTTTGGTAGTTTCGTGGGACCGACTATGGACCGGTCCGGCCTGGCCCGAAAATTCAAATAATTTTATAAATAAATGTATTTTTAAATAGTTTTATAATGTATTTTTATAAGAAAACGTAATTTTAATTATATTAAAACGCATTTTTAAAGTGTATTTAAGTGACCCAATTGTAAATTTTATAATATATTAAAAATATATATCATTAAAAAAATCAAAAAAAAAATCTTATTTTTTACCAAAGGAGGTGATGAAAAGACCTTAAGCCCTTCACCTCCTTCTGATGATCATTCCATTCAAATCACTCTCCGGACCGCGATCGAGACCGGCGGCCAATAACCGGTTATGAAGTACCTTGACCGGTTCTATCATTTTTGACCGGGACCATTATGGCTGGTTATGAGAAAGGTTAGGACCGATTGGGACCGGCCCCGCCCGGCCCGGGACCGGTTTTTGGCCATCTCTACTCCACATTATAACTCTGGAAAACATATTACCAGAGCTGTGGGAGAAGTTTGTAGAGATCAGACTTCTAAGTCTGAAGAATAAAAATCCAAAAATGAGATATGTTTGGAAGAACATATTGCATAGTTCAAGCTTCTACATTAACACTTTTAGGTCCGGTAGAAACTCTGAAAACCAAGAGTTTATAGCAGTCTTGTAAGTTTGGAAAACAAGTCTAAAGAGTTGTTTTCTAAGTCTGGGAAATAACTCCACATTATAACTCCGGAAAACAGAATACCAGAGTTGTGGGAGAAGCGTTAAGAGATCAGACTTTTAAGTCTGAATAATAGAAATGAGATATTTTTGGAAAAACATACTGCATAGTTCAAGCTTCTACATTCATCATTACCATAACAAAGGAACAACCATAATTCATACTTATAATTCAACAAAATAACTCTGGAAAATAGTTCAGGTTAAATCTGAAAAAAATAAGTTCAGAGTTATTTTATACGTCTTAAAATAACTTTGAAGTTAAACTCTAGATACTTCAGAGCTCTGCATAGATATGGCAGAAGTCCTGCATGACTATGTAGAGGCTCTAAATGCACTATACAGAGGCTCTGCATGTACTCTGAGAATAAATCTTAAATTTCTTGAAATAACTCTGAGAATAAATCTAGAGGACAACAATTCAGAGTTGTCTTCTAAGGTTGGAAGTTCTATTCAAAATATAACTCTAGAGAACTACACTTTAGAGTTGTCTTCTAAGTCTTGAAAATGAGTATGAGAATACCTCTAAAGCCCAAGAGTTCAGAGTTGACTTCTAAGTCTGTAAAATGAGTCTGAGAATATCTTTGAAGCCTATGAGTTCAGAGTTGTCTTGTAAGCCTGGCAAATAACTACACATTGTAACTCTGGAAATTAGTCTGAAGTAAAAGTCTTCACACTTCAAAGCTCTGTATAGGCAAGCCAGAAGCTTTGCATGGACCATGCAGAGGCTGTGCATGGTGCTCTGCATGGTGTTCCGTCTGGAAAAGAGGACTTCAGAGTTCGGCTGAGCCAACTCTTAAAAATGACTCTTCAGACTTATACTCTGGAAATTAACTCCAAATGGTAAATTTGATTTGTTCTACTTTGGAGCTATCTTATAAGGCTGGAAATTAACTATTGCACATTATAACTCTGGAAAACAGAATACCATAATTGTGGGAAAAGATTGCAGAGATCAAACTTCTAAGTCTGAAGAATAGAAATCCATGAATGTAATATGTTTGGAAAAACATACTACATAGTTCAAGCTTCTACATTCATCATTACCATAACAAATGAACCATAATTCATACTTATAATTCAACAAAATAACTCAAAATAAATCTGGAAGACAAATAGTTTGGAGTTATCTTATATGTCTTGAAATAACTCTGAAGTAAAATGAGTCTGAGAATACCTCTGAAGCCCAAGAGTTCAGAGTTAGCTTTTAAGTCTGGAAAATAACTCCACATTATAACTCTGGAAAACATAATACCAGAGATGTGGGAAAAGTCTGTAGAGATCAGACTTCTAAATCTGAAGAATAGAAATCCAGAAATAAGATAAATTTGGAAAAGCATATTGCATAGTTCAAACTTCTACATTCATCATTACCATAACAAAGGAACAACCATAATTCATACTTATAATTCAACATAATTCTAAACTGAGACTACTTCAGACTTAGAAGTCTGAATACTCTGCTAAGAAACTAAATCCCGTTTAGTAAGGAAATCAGTTAAAACACGATAAAAAAAAGATACATGTTTAGAGGGACAGATGTCAACCAAATACGCCTCTGAACCTCCAATGTAAATTGTGTCTACACACATGTTTAGGAGGGAAATCAATATAACCGTCTCACCAGAAGATGACATGTGGCTTCCAAGTTACTTATTTATTAGATGTATATATATATATATATATATATATATATATATCCTTTCAACTTAAGAAATGATCTATAAAAATTCTTTTAAAGTAAAAATATTTCTCTACCAATTGTCCCCTATGAAATCAATCAGATGGAGGTAGAAGCAGTCGTTTGTTGTCGATGCTTCACCTGTCAAGTGATGATGATACTGTGTAAAAAATGATGTTGACCCCTTGGCTGCTTTGGGCAACATTCTGTTTCCTGATAAGATTACCATCTAATTATTCCCAATCAGTTTTCTTATTGCCACTTTTGAGACTGTTGCTAGTACATGAACATCAACTTTTAAGTGATTGATGGATTGGCAAATGCTGTTAATGGCTATGCAGTCAGGCTCTATCTCTTATGTAAGGAACGAAAAACAAGCATCAGTCGGTTAACCATCATTCTTTATAGTGAGTCTTACCTGTCTGGAGAAGAAGTTATCGAATAGCTCTCTTGGAAGATCAAACCTGTACAATATATTCTGCAAAAAGGGTATGTATGATCTGGGCCTGTACAATATATATCATACAAAAATGAAGTCATCAGCAATCAAAATTATCGGTTAAATTGCAGATAATTAAAGGATACAAGATGGTACCAATGGTATGAGCTTCTTTGTAGCTTGGATGGAAGAATCATCTTAATGCGGTAATAGGCAATAGTGTGAAACCAAGTAACTACCCTTTTTTCCTTTACAATTAATCATAAGATGTCCACAAAATCTGATTCTTTTATGCATCTACAACAATTGTTCCGAGTCATTAAGAATGGGAAACAAACAAGTGGTAACTAAGAAAAGGAAATATATGGTACACTTTGATGGCAACACTAGATGATATAAGAATCACTGGGAACTAAACCCCAACGGTGGAAGGATTGACATTTAAAGAGTGAATGAATGAACTTTTCACCATTGTGTAAACAATCACTTACCTATACTTCATCTTTTACCATTTCCTTTTCGTCATCATCATGTTCCTGTGTGCAAGCAAACAAGTGTACGTATTTTATATATTTACAACTTTGTCATCCATTGCTGCCAGCAACCTCAGCAGCACGTTGCCTCATCATTTCCATCACAGCAGCCCTCCGCCGGCTATCAGACTGTTGTTGCAGCCTTCTCAAATGTTCCTTCAGATCTCTGTATAGACAAAGTAAAGATCGGAATAGAAATGATACGGATAAAAACATTCAGAGTTGGGGTGGTCATGACAATTACAGTAATGCAAACAAATACATTAATGCAGAGAATTTTGACAAGTTGGAGGAATTTCCTTCTTTATGATTGCCTTTTTTCCTTTCTTACACTTGCTTCTTTTGAGGAACTTCTTTTGAAATCTTCTACTACATTTGTGCCAAATTAAGTGTCCACATTTCTATTTTAGTTCGTCTTAAATAGGCGTGCGGGCCTGCCCCTTTTTTTAGTAGGTGATTCACTACCGAAGCTAATCAGGCATTTTATTTTATGAAAAGGAAGGGAACTTCTCATCGTAGGAATGGATGGCAGTGGGAGGATAAGCTCTTTTGAGCTACAGTAGTAAGCATCCGATTTTAAAAGTAAGTCCATGCTTTCCAAATCTACCGTTAACTATGAGATGGAAAAATTCATTACTCTCTCTATTACCAAGTTAGAGTAAACTTGTCACCAAAGGGTCTTTGACCTAGCGGTATTAGAGGCCAGGGCCTCCTAGGAGGTCAAGGGTTCAAACCTCACCGAAGGTGAGGAGGGTGTGTGAGTTTATTTGTCCTATTTGCCATATATAAATATTATATACTTAAAAAAAAGAGTAAACCTGTCATTTAATAAATTAAAAGGTGCAATTATTACATATTTCTAAAACTGTGGACATATATATATTTTGGGACAAAAGGAAAGAGGCAGATGAACAAACCTGCAGCGCGGTACATGACATTGGGATTCTCTACATGCTCGGGCATGGAGTTGAAGAAGATACCACATTTTCTTGCAAAGAACACAACCTCCAGATGCACGTATTTTGCATTGTATCCCATGTCGGAAAAGTCCCTTCACCTTGCGACAGTTTGGGTATTGGCAAAGTGGAGAGCGACACTGAGATGCATGTACCAGGAGATCAAGCATTTTCCTAAGCTGCAATAAGAAGAAAATCAACCAAGTTATATTCCAAGCTGCCTACAGCTATAACATTCCAAGTTCTCCATTATGCTCCAGTTGCTGGTCTACTTACAAACAGACATATATTTAATATACCTGTACAACTCGTAGTTGCCGAGCTTCTTTATTTTGCGCATCACGTTCAGCAATCGAAGGGTGAGCTGTCAACTTATGAGGATGATCTATGCCTCCATCCTTGTGATAGCAGGAATTGCACACATCATAATCGGGGCAAACCTCACAGCGCCAACCTTGCCCTGTTTCTATATCAAGATGACATCTGTTGCATGTTGTCACAAATGCAGGAGCAGTAGGATTATGGAGATGGTACAAAACCATCATTGAGGAGTGTTTTGCACGACGAAGTGTATCATATTGATAATGATTTCCTTGGCAAAGGCTGAGAAAAGCCTGTCTAGTGTCAAAGAATTCACTCTCAAGAATCTCATCTTTATCTTTGGTATCTGGTAACACATCATTGATTTCGATCTGCATTGTTTATTAATGTTTTCACAACCTGAATTCATATTGTATATAAGTGTACTACTCAAGGAGCGAGGAACTTACAGGATAAAGTGAATGTTTCTCCCTATGATTGATAGGATGTCTCTCCCTATCCTCAAGCTTTTGTTCAATTTCATGGCATCTGCAAGTCATAAGCACAACCGAATATTACATGCAGTTAAAAAAAATTGAACAGGACAAAGAAACAAAAATGCAAGGTAGAACATTCCGTTCTTGTGTGTCTTCTCCTTACAAATGATCAGATATAACATTGATTCTATAAGGTATTACATTCAGTTCCCAGTTATATTCATCTAACATTTAATGCAGGGGAAAGATCAGATAGTAAAATTTGAAAATGTACTTGTAGCAAAAAATTGTAAAACTGATGCAATATATCCTTATAATTATCATTGGTGCTACATTACACAAATCTTGGAGAGTTGGAAACCAGAAATTCGGTAACAGGGCATGATATCATAGTGCTTACTTATCACAGAGCTGAAACTTTTTGCACTGATTGCAAACCCAGCGTTTTCCAGATACCATTAGAATACAACAATGAGTGCATGCATGCTGCAAGTGAACCATAATGAAATCTTCCTTCATTGAGGAAATTGTTTCACCAAGCTGCACCAAATAAAATCCCACAGACAAGGAGAAAAACTGTAAGAAAAAGAATTAGTGAAGGCATGCTAATAATTAAGACGGTAAAATACAAATATTATTCCCGGACTATACCCCAACAGACTGATTTGATCACTTCACTTTCAGTTTTGCATGCTGGTCCAGAAAACACATAACTAACAAATATAGTCCAATCTGACAGGTTCATTATATTTGCTCTCTTAAATTGAACATGTGCATTGCTCATGACATTAAAGTAAGGGTAAAATTGCAAAAACTAATAATAAATGAAATGAAAAGTACAAAAAAAGAAGGCAAAGAAAAGTAACTCCACCCCCCCTCCCCGACTTCCTGGCCCAGAAACCCCAAATTAACCTACGAATACTCCAATTTGACAGTTCATCATATTTGCTCTTATAAATCCAGCATGTGCACTGCACAGGACATCAATGTAGATGTAAAATTAATAAAAGTAATAATAAATGAAATGAAAAGAAAGATAATAAGGAACAACTTTAATCCCCCCCTCCAACTTCCTAGTTCGCCTCCCCAAATTGCTCCCAGTTCCCAACCCGCTTCCCTTCCCCCACTAACCCATATACCAGTACTCCCTCCTTTTCTGCTGCTATGAAAATTCTCTTTTGACTTCTCGACTTCAACAAAAAAATCATTTCCATCCTCATCAAATTTATGATGCCCAACTTGTTGCTGCATGGCTATGATATTCCATTTCCCTCTTCCTCCTTTCTCTCCTCACCTCCATCTACCTCTCACCCAAAACCCTCTTCTCCGATTATGATAAAATGTTTGCTCGTAGACTCTGGTGATGAATTATATGTAGTTAGAGTGTTTTGAAGATGAGCATGAAGATGGTGAAAGAAGATGAGGATGAGGATGATGCACGTGATGAAGGTGGAGAAATGACTAAAATCTAAATTTGTGGTTAAATTTGGGTTTTTTGGATTAAATATATAAATTTAAAAGTCACTGACAGAAATAAGTTTTTTGGGAGCCCAGATACAATTTTTGTAATTTATTCTAATCAACTATGAAGTGAAAAATAGGGTAAAAAGACCAACAACGTATCAAAAAAGTTGATAAGAAACTACCGAAACAAAAAAAAAGGTACCGGCAACTACTCCCTCCTTCCTAAATCACTATCCACACACCTATTTTGAGTTGTCTCAAGATAATGGCCCACTTACAAAAGGTAAATATGTCGAATCACCTTCCATATACATTTAGAGCTCTATACTTTATTGCTAACTGTGTGTTCTTTTTCTCCTGCTAGCAAATTAATAAATGAACTCGAACTTCATTAAAGAGGCTATGTGATACAAAATGGCTTGGCAAACCTTCCCCAAGCTTATACATGGTATTGGAGAGGTAAATTCATGTAGAGTAGTTGTAACTTGTAAGAATATGTGGAACCCCTATATCACTCTCCAAAAGAGCCCTTGAGGAGCAAGAGGAGGTTCCAACATATATACAAAAGAAATGGTCCAAGTCTAGCCGATGTGGGACTCCAACAGTAGTCATAATAGATTTTCTGTCATCCCATCAAATGAGCTCTTGGACTTCCATTTGTCCAAAAATGAAAGAAGCCAAATGATTTTGTTTTCCTTTTGAACCAATACATTACATAGTTCTAGTGAACTAGTTGTAAGGTGTTCAACAAAGGTTCAAACACAGTTACAGTTTATATGTTTGAACAATTCCATTTTCCAACACATATTCTTTGGAAGATAACCTTAATGTGACCTTTTAAGGTTCTCAGTAAAAAAAATATCAAAATATGTAGATAATGTTAACAAGGACTACTTATATAGAAGATCTTAAGCTTCAAATTTTGAGCAAAGAGCTCTTCATTTTCAAAGGACTATGTGGTTAATAGGTTTTCTTAAAATGCATACTTGTTATATGGAAAATGCTGTTGAAGACAAGAGAAACCATCATCAAAGGAAAAGCTCAGGCCTATAATTTACTGGTTCAACTAAGAAGCCAATTTTATGTCATCCTTTTTATAGAGTAGCAACACTAACATAAGAGATAGCAACAAAATCCACATTACAGGATTTAAATCACACTTTAAGACTTGAATACTGCCAAAAGTTGAGTGTGGAAATCTAATGTCAGTAAGAACATACAGCCTCAATTATCAACAAAAATATATCATGGAAAGGGAAAGCTGAAACTCTTCTAGCTAGAAAGGGATAGCTTGCTTTGTAATAATACTCGTAAAATCGACATAAGCTTCTAAAACTGGAAGCATTACCATCCACATAAGAAATGATTGACATTATGGTTAGGATGTAAGGCCAGCAGTTGAGAGGGGAGAGGATCAAGGTATCAAAGAAGAGAATTACCCTATGCATCAGTAGCAGATCTTTCGGCGCATTCCCAGAAAGATCGATTTGACCAGAAGCTTTCAGGGCTCTCTTGGTTATGTTCTTCTTTATTGACCCTTTCTTATTTTGCTTTCTTCCATCCTCTTCTTGACGAAGCTGATAGATTATATCCTCAGCAGCCCCAGGCCAATAGTCTCCATCAAAGTACGGTAATCGAGTCGCGGTTACCTTAGCTTTATATTCACCAGAAGATACAAAGAAATGATCGTATAGATTAGTGAGATCAACAACGATATTTTCCTTTGAAGCTTTTCTCAACATCGACAAATACCTGATTCACAACATAACTCATGTCACAAAAATGCATCGATAATAATGTACCTAATAAGACAACAGTGAAGTAATGCACAGCTTACACCCACTCACCATTCTCTTAGTTTATCAGATTTTGGTGTCTTCTGAATTTCAGGATGGCAATACAAGATATAATCTTCACCCTTCAATGGAGGGCAAGCCCATATATAGCAACTTGTGAAACCACGTAATTTGCAATATTCAAGGTAACCTATCTGGAGATAAAAAGAAAGAAAACTGGCTGACATACTCCACTTACCAAGAACAAAGCAACAAAAAGGAACTATTAAGCAAGATGTAACTCAAAGAGCATAGGCAGTTAAAACACTTGCCAGAATTTCATGATATACAAATGTACGGAGAGCCTCCCCTGTGACAGCCTTAATATCAGGCCTGAAGTACTTGACTGAATCCAGATAAGATAGATAAACACGGCGATGATTTGGCTGCTGACACTCTGCTCCAAATTCTTGAACGTACATGCCAAAAAGACATACTTCTACACCTTCAATTTTCTGAAACAGCAGAACTACCTAAAACAAGCAACAGTAGTTTAGCGATTGGCGTAGTAGAACAACAAAACAACACAAACGACATAAATCCACTCCATGAACTCTCATTAAGCATCAACGCTGGACACATTACTATTTTCATGTACCTTAGACTTGTATCCAAATTCCACAGGGTAATTTTCATCTTGAAAGATCTCAAGAAATCGCTGCTTGACTTCCAATTTCTTGTCCACAGACGAGACAACTCTGACAACAAGTGCTTCCGCTCCAGGAACCTGTAAACAAAGAAAATGTAAAACTAATTAGACTTTCTAAGTACAAAATGATAGTAACTGTAGCACTGAGCAATCCAAACATATACAAGGAATAATAGATAGCACTTATTAACCACAAGTGATTCTTGTTAAACTGAAAGTTGCAACAATTGAAACAGTGGGGGAAATTGAGGACTTATAACCGAAACCAAGACTCCCTTCCTCGTCCATATCAATGCAACCCTCAGCATAATTCATAACACAGACAAAAACACAGCAATCGACACAATAAATTTTTGATGAAAGATTAAACAATGAAGGCAAGAAATAGAGATTAATGAAGATATCTTGTATACGGTGAGGGAGAAGTACAACATGTGTGAAAGATGCGAAAGGGAAATTGACACTTCAAGATATTCTGTTCTTTTTATTGACTTGTCATCCATAAATTTATACCTATTTTATTATTGGTCATTGGCGATACCTACTCTGCCTTTAATACTGATATATGTCTGCGTCTGTGTGAGTGTGAGTGTGAGTGTGTTTGTATGTGTGTGTATATGAGACATATCTGTCTGTGTGTGTCTGCTCACATGCAGGATTGTGCCATTACATGTGTCAAATATTTAGTGATCATGTATTAGAAGGATTTCAAGCTAGTTGCAACATCTTACATTTCATCATAAGGTTGCTATCCTCATATACTATAAAAGAGAAACACAGTTGGCCATATAATCTAATATGCAAGATTTTCAACGATATAATCAATGATCCAGCAAGCAAAAGGCGTTGTGATCATATTTATATACAAGTCATCCAGATCAAATCAAACAGCAGAAGCATCATAATATCACCTCATTATAACTTTTTCCATGGAACCTTGCCCTCTCTAGTCTCTCCTGCTTCAATTTTGCAAACAACCTGTTCTCTATGTGATCGCTGAGTATCGTACGAGGTAAATCTTTTGCTCCAAGTACAGCACTCTGTGGTAGGGGCATCCGCTCTCCTCTTTCAATTTCTTCCACGTAACAATTTGGACAAGTGTACTCTGCTTGTCCGCCATCATTTCTTCGACCATTGAATAATGCACATATTTGATGTTGCCAGGCTTCACACTTGTCACATTGAACCCACTGCAGAAATCCACAAGGATTAAGTAATCATTGGAACATCATAGAAAAGTAAGAATAATATGTTTATATGATATATAATAACATACCCATTCTTCAGTCTCCTCATCATTTTTCTTTTTCTCCATTCTAGCTTTCAAAATATTAGTTCCATCAACATTGATAGTGTCTCCACGGGCTTCATTGTAGCAGGGAATACAAAAGTAGTGTCGAGTATCACCAGCCCCAACAGTGTAGAACATTGCATTTCTCTTGATGCGAGCACCACAAGGTGTGCAATATATCGGTGGTGGTTCAAAAGTAAGCTTCTCAACCGCACATAGCTGACAAGAATTCTCACTCATCGAGTGTTCAAGAGCTTGATTCTTTTCTGCTTTTGCTTTGCTCTGCACAACAAACAAATAAAGGATATAAGATGAGAAGAAGTAAGATAACTCAAAACACATAAGATATGTTGTCACATCAATTAAAGGCACACACTACCCACACACTAATGCACATAAAAGTTACTGATGATTCTACATTTCAAAGAAACAATAATAACTTTAAGGGTATATATACTACCAGTGGTAAGAAAGATACAGAATAGTCCATTAGAGTAAAAAAAACTGCAAAATATTGTGTTATTGCATAATCGAAGGGATATAACAAGACTTCCATCAGTTTCCTAAACGCATTAAAAAGTTATAATAAGGGAAGCCATTTATAAGTCACTATGCTTTGTTTTACTAGGTCGCTGGCCAATTGGGCAAACTGTTGCACGATTTTCATCTTAGCCAATATCGTGATGCAAATTTTTTAATGCCTTAGCTAGCAGGATGCTGTTCCATGTAACACAAAGTGACAGTAGATTAAGTGACAATGACACTGTAGCAATGACTTCATAAAAGGATCCTAGATGGAAGTGCAGACATCTCACCTGGCCAACCCATTGCCTGAGACCAGTGATATGCTCCCGCACCTGCTCTGGTGTAAACAACTCTATCATTGATACTCCCTTTATTTTTGCCTTCCCAGACTTGGTCCCAGCAGAAACTTCAGCCGGAACTGCTGACTTTTCCTGTTTTGGCTGGCCAACCTCTTTCTCAGTCTTAACAAACTCCTGCTTAGGGAAACCAGTGGCTTTATTAGACACAACTGGAACACCTTTGGACTTTTGGGTGCAGGAATCTTCCACATAATTCTTCCTCTTTTCATCGGTCATGGGACTTCCATGCACAGAACTTGCAGGAATTTCCATTTTTATTCCAGTAACCTCAGATTTCATTGGAGTATTGGTGTCACCAATTTGATATTCTTCATTGCATACATCCTGAAGTTCTGATGCACTAGTGACAGGAACTGGTATGATAGGATTTTCACTTTTGGAGGCTAGTGATTGTGATGACTGCTCTATTTTCATCCGTTTCAAATTTGGATGTAGATCTTCTGAAGTTTCAGTAGCAGTTGGACTCATCTTCAAGTTATATCTACCAGTACCACCACTAGGGTATTCACAGGATCCATTGCCTGAGCGTGGAAAACCAGAATTGGAATCTGCATGCTGGCCCCCTTTCAGTTGCACAAAACGCTTTACTGGAATGCAAACAGGACAACTTGGATCCCTGCAGTGCTTATGATGGAGAAGTAAAAGCTTTGTCCTACGGCAACGAGCATATTGACATTGAACTACATCATTACATGATGTCATATGGTTCAACAACTTTTGAGCAGTGATGCAATTGATTTCTGGACATTTTCCTGGTGGGTGAACACATTTACGAGCATGCCGCAAGAACAAAAGCCACCTTTGTTGATTTATGAACTGCAATTCACGGTTTAAATTAACAGATTTACATGTAGCACTGGAGTTTGCTGGGTCTACTGATCTACTGACAGAAGTTCGATGAGTAATAGATCCTTCTGAAGAAAGATTATTCCTCTGAGCTTGATCTTGCTCTGCTATTCTTTGACAAAATTCTTCTTCGATATTCTGCTCTGACCTGTTGCCCAGTACATGTGGCACTTCTTGAGCTCTTGAATGCCATTGGCCCTGCAATCCAGCCCCTGGTTGAACGCCTAGAGGGCAAGTAAGATCACTTTGGGTGTCAACAACAAATTCGTGTTGTTGTAGCAATTGGTGCATCTGCTGTGAAGTATCTGTCATTGGTAAGGACAACCCCTGAGATCCAGGTGCAAGACTATGCAATTGACTAGCTACTTTGTGGTCTTCCTCAGAGTTATGTTGAAAGTGATTGATTGTCTGGGAAGACTGAAAATGCTCAGAGACCTGTGGCTGTAGATCTTCATTGTGACCCTCCATTCCAGGCTCAGATTTTATTTGACTGCCAGGACCATGTGTCAGCTGAGACCGACCATATGACAAATGCTGACTTTGATGCTTCTGTTGACTTTGATTTTGAAGAAGTTGTTGCTGAAAATGAACAGGCAATGGTGATTGCATAGCACTCTCACGTAGTGAATGCTGAGTTCGGATTTCTGATTCATCAATTGAAGGTTTCATGTTTGATGCATGCTGAGCATTGAGCAAATTCGACTGATTCACCATCAAAGGAGAGCTTGTCTTATGTAATGTGTGCAAGCTTACTGGGTTCATGTTCTGATTATTCATCATTGATGAAGTTGAGGTTGTTGGAGCGTAAAAAGTTTCAGATCGAGAAGAATCAACGGTGCTATTCTCATAACCATCAACTGCAAAGTATAAGTATCCCATGAACATTAAAAACAAATACTTCCAAGCATCCAAGATGCAGTCCACATTGCCATTGTGAATAAAATATGGAGACAGACAAATAGATATAAACAAATATATTAACATATATTCATATGTATATATACATGTGGGTGTGCATGGAATGAGTACCCTGTGACATATGTTGCTGATGTTGATCAAAATGTTGGGGTTGTGTTTTGGGAGAGTTCCCATAATGAGAAGCCGTCACATAGCTTTTTGAGGTTCCTGAACCATTCATCTGTGAAGTATTTCCAATCATTCCAAAACCACTGTTTATTGACCCATTTGGAAACCCATAAGGTTTCTGATGTAAACTAGACCTTACTCCCCCACCCATATGGCTCCCCAGGCTTTGTAATATGCGACTGTTCTGGCCACCAACTTGCTGCTTCTGTTGCAGAGGCTGAGATACTGTTGTAGAGTCGATGGTCGATAGCCCAATAACATTGTTAGACGAATCCATGTTCATGTAAGACTGATTACCAGTGCTATTACTATTATTGAATCCAGGAGTAGGTATCATCTGGCTGGCCATTCTTTGTGCACCCATTGATGAAATCAAACTGTTTCCAACTGAGCTAACCGAAAAATTTGATGGCGACTGTTGATAACCGCTAGTCAAACCTCCTGCAAAAGAAGATCCAATTGTAACCCAAGTAGAAGAAAATTCAATAATTACAAAGAAAAAACTTGCAATAGAATAGGAGGTACAAATTACCATCAGATGGACCCAAGGAACCATTGTGCATCCCACTTGAAATTCGAGTCGTGTTCGGTAAAAAGTTTCCTGTGTTGACAGCTGATGACACCATACCACTACCACCACCTGCCACAACAAAGGAGTTATCCATAGATGATGGAACCATTAAACTTGAATTCCCACTTTGAGGCATGCCAGGATTTGGAATCATTGTTCCCATGGCAACGGAAGTATTGCCTTGTTGCTGATATTGTTGATTTTGATTATTCAAGGGGAGTCGTTTGATCAGAACATGTAAACGATTTTCCAATGTCTCTAAATTCATATATTCCTCCTAAGACAAAAAATGATTGATAGTTATATATAAAAGAGGATAAGGTTTATAGACAAGACAGAACCAACAAAATCTACATGATGTTAACATTGTTATTCAACGAAACCTTACCCGACAGGTAGTTGGGACATGGGCGAACATATCCACTCCAAACCCTAAACCAGCCAATCTTGCCAGACAAGACCCGGGGGAGCATCACAACCTTTAAAAAATTTAGTTACAAGACCGATATCTGGTTTGACAGATAAGTCCAACCATATATTACTTCTATTTTTGCACTTGGAAATAACTAACGGGATACCAAACCCAAGTTTAACACACAACACGTTGTAAAATACATCGATGAGGTCCTAATTTGGAGTTGAACATGCAATTAATCAAGAAAGCAAAAGAACACCTGAAGACGTTAAAATAGCCCTTATTAAGATTTGACAACTAACCAAAGGGCCTTTGGCCTAGCAGTATCGTAGCCTTTTTGGCCTCCTAGGAGGTCAGGGGTTCAAACCTCACCAAAGGTAAGGAGGGTGTGTGAGTTTATTTGTTGCATTTGCCATATATAAATATTATATACTTCAAAAAAGATTTGACAACTGAATTCTTCATTCCACTCATACTCCTTCCCTCCCTTTCAGACCATTAACGTGCTTTGGCTCATTATGAGAAAAAAAGATATTTAAGTTCTTGTCATATTCAAGAATGGATGTTGCTGTCTTAGTCCAAGTTACAGTTTGCAGAACAGCAAGATCTTAATGGTTTCAAAGCCATCTCTAGGAAGGATGCAAACTCTCCTGAGAAATTATTTTACTTCTTTCAAGGTAAGCTTCCGGCTTGATATTTGTCAGAACACTAGCTTTAATTTATCATTGCAAAGTATAATTTTATTTTTTAGTCTCATATATTTCTTGTTATTAACGCCACTTATCCTAAAGAGTGGATATTCTGTTACAATTCTATGTGTAGAAAAAAGAAGGGCCAAATGTTGGGGCAGAAATATGCCTAGATAGATTATACGGGAAGGATGAATCAAAGAAGAAAAATCAAAACCTTGGTGGTCGCAGTTTTGAACAGGCCTTCTTCTAGGCGTCTAACAATGTCCATCACCTTCTTTGGAGCTATCTCCTGAGTTTGTTGCCGCTGCATTAAGAAGTCATAGCTGGAGAAGGAAATTTAAAAAACATTATCAGAGTTTAAACGTCAAAACGTATGTAGAATGCAATGATATGTAGAAAAGACCAAAAGGTAAAATAAATACATAACCAGATCTATGAGCAGGCAGGATGGATAAGAAAGTCGGTATAAGAGAGTAGTCAAATGACATGATACTGAGATGAAGTAAGGAGTCTAGTGCCCTTACAGGAGTTGAACCAGGATTACGCATATTCGGTCTAAAACTAGGTGCCTAGTGCAGCGCTAAAAGCATGCAGAAACAATTCCTAATTAAAAGTATAATAAGTCAGAAAATAAGGAAGGGGGATACCAAAGAAAGAGGGGAATAATTACACTAGTTGTTCATCCTTGCAAGGACCAGCACAGCACAATGAACATAACGACATGAAGCCTAATGCATCTTAATTAAGATAATTTACAATGATGGAAACATATTGCTGGAGGTAAATTAGGAAACCTGGTTCCACCAAACAGATTGAGGATATTAGGACATTTATAGGGGAAATCCATGGGGACCATCAAAACTACCACATGTTCTTCTCAGTAAACATTGATGGGAGTTAACCATGCTCTCTTCCCAAAGGTAAAAAATATGGTCTGTTCAGTGGTTGCCATGAATTGCTCTGTTCATAATGCCACAAAAGGGCTACCTTTCTACGTACAGCTGGGGATGCCCAAGACTCCTATTTTTAGAGCTAAATCAAATTGCTTCTTACCTTCTTAATCTATTTATTCTGTCAACATCACTTGTAATCACATATTGGGTGTCCAGCCCCTAGTATGGAGGGTGGTATGCTGGGTGTTCACTGTGATCATTAATTACAATTTTATAACCTAACAATTTTAGAGTAGCATCTTACATTATTTTCTTTCATTTTCCAGCATCATGCAACATGCACATTTACATTGTTGTATTAGATATACTATTAATGCTATTTTTCTCGTACCTTGTATTTCATATAATATTTCATTCAAGATCCAAAAGGCCTTACTTTTAACCTTTTTCCTCACATGTCCCTACTGAAGTTGTTGGGTATTGTCCTCGTCACCAGCTTGCACACACTATTTTTCTATTAATTATTTAGTATGGCTCATGCTCTCAGTTTCTTTGCAAAAACCTCAACTTTTAAAATGAACATTTGACAAATTTTCTGTTTTTCATGTCTCCCTAAAACTTATTCCATCTCTATCCTTTGGGACAGAGGAAAGGTCAGCATACATCGTAATCCAGAGGCGGGTCCATAAATTTTTTGCAGCGGTGGCACAAAAATAATTACGTAATATAAAATAAAAAGAAAATTATAGTTAAAAAATATGGTAGTAAACACTAAGAAGTTAAACAAACTAGGTTGGATTGGCTAATTCATCGATGGGGTGATAAAAAAGACATTGCAAACTCAGGCTCATGAAGACTTGAACCCATGAACATCTCTTCCTACAAGAGCACTCTTGTCATTGCTGCGCCTCTGTTTTTCGATCTAACCAAAACAGTACCACAATGTACATCAAGTACGTTGATCTTTATTTTGTTGGGTACAGGACAGATAGATCTATCATTCTAAAGCTTAACTGGAAAGACCTAGAGAAGGCAAAATTTAGCCATGATCTGGACAAAGTACAGTGTAATGTTTAGGAGAAATGCGTCTCTCTTTGCTACTTAGAACAGAACTTCTGAAACTCCAATCATTATCAAAAATCAATCTGCTTCCTTTTTTTCTCACTTCTTCAGTCCTCAAAATTGCACCACCTATTTCACTCCAACTTCGAGGACACTTTTTTGGCCTCTCTCTCTCCCACCCTCCCCTCTCTTTGACACATACAAGCACATCAGATTGTTCTCTCTTATTGTGTACAACATTGATGAGAAACTATATCAAGCTGTCCTAGTTACATCAAATCCTCGAGAATGAACGAGATAACTCTGTAAGTTTGCTCAGTAACCCTTAAAGTGTGAGTATCATGCGAGGATGAGTGAAGATGTTATGTTACTTGTGCAGGTACTACATCAAATACAATCATGAATTTTTTTAATACACAGTTTAAACCCTTATTGTTCATATTCCATCCCCCCCCCCAAATTGAAAGTAGAATTCCTACACCACCCCACAAGACTTATATGTTCATGGATGCATGCACATTACACAAGCGCACAAGTGCACACATAAAACAATCTGAATCCCCCTTCATAATAGTTGTTTGTATATAGCTATGTAAAGGAGAACTTACATTCTCTCTTGTATAAAACGCCGAGCCTTCACAAAACCAGGCTCCATATTGAGTGTATTACGCTGACCTCCAGAGCTTTGCATTACATTCTGCTGCTGCGGTATGGCAGACAATGATGTCCCGGCTTGATTGGGTACCTGCCCAGAGATTTGTCCTGACATATGTGTCGGTAAATTCATCTTTATCCTTTTAACTACAAGATAAGATACATTTTATAAGACAATGTCAACGATATATGACATTCAATCAACACCAAATCTAGGGTTGTGATGCCTATCCTTCAGTCAAGTTGCACTCATTTCAGCTTCAATTTTCCTGAGTAAAACCAGAATGCAAAAAGCAATAGAATAACTTTAGTGAAGCCTGTATATGACTGCGCAACAAGAATAGAGTGCTTTCCATTAATATACACAAATTAATAGGGAAATTTGAGAAAGGTAATAAGAGTACATCAATCCAAACGATGAACACTTTTTGGCAAGAAAAAGAAAACCCAAAAGACAAGCATTACTCATAAGTTCAGATGGCTCGTCATTCTCACTCTCATTCTCATTATCAACTTTAGGCTCACTTTAACACCCATTGTCCATCTGTTTGACGTTCTACTTACCAGAAGTCCCTATTTTATTTTGCACCCACCAAAAAGGTTTTTACTTCATTGGAACAAAGGTGAAACCTCAACAACTTAAAGCATTCTATCATAAACAAGGGAAGGTTGTCAAATCCCTCAGCTCCCCAGATCTGGTGGATTACAAGAGCCACATGCACTACATACAAATTAGGTAAAATAAAACGGCCGCCTCACTCAACATGTTCAACGACAGAGTCGGGTCCTAAAACCATTTGCAGATATTCAGTGTCACTTGTATGAGTTATATTTGTCTGATATCCTACCATGTCAGATGTTTAGCACCTCAGCTACCTTAAATGATACCTGTTCTCTCCCTTGATAAGTATCCTGTCCTGAATACATCCAGAATACTAAATGGAGCACGATTCTTTTTATCTTTCTAACACTTGATTTTTTTTCATGATTAGTTTTTCCAGAGAAGTGAATAAATTTGTATCATCTTAACTGAGAAGAAGTTCATTTTGACTCTAAATATTCAAACTAATGAACTTATAAGGAACAGGCAGAGTATCACACCAATGCAGTTTACCAGATTGTTTGCATTTCCTAACCAAGTGGTTTTCCACATGGTAATTGTATACATCCCCTCTCATGTTGAGACTTAATGAAATGCATATTCTTATATCTTATATGTTCAAAGCTATCACTTGTTAGTTATAAAGGTTATTACAGAGGATGGCATTAGGAGCATTGGTGTCATATACAGTGTGGAAAATTGTACGAGCCAGAGCAGTGTGTTATTTTAATATTTTTCAAAATCATTCAAACCGTAACATATATGTGAATCAAGTAAAGGCTAGGACATAGAAGTGCAAGATGCCAGCTGGTAGAATGTGAAATGGGATAAACCAAATGTACCTCAGGAGAGAAAATTGAAGGCATTGGGATACACGGAGGAAGATGTTTATTTATGTTACAAAGCAGCAAGGGTTGTGCACACCTGAAGAAAAACAGATGGAACAGAAACTATGTACTTAGCATCGGAACCAGATATACAAGAAACAACTTTGTGAAAAAAGGGTAGGTATAAATGCCTTGTCAACTTTGGGCTAAAAGTCGCTTGAAAGATTAGGTCAAGAGTCAAACCAAAGAATGGATAATGTTGTTGATTGATTTAGAGCAGATGTACAATAGGTCCTAAAACGCCTAATTAGTTAAGTGTTGACAGATAACATGTTCAATCCTCCTTCAAAATCATGTGAAAAATTCAATTGTTTTTGTACCATTGATCTAACTCTTTAGTAATCAATTTATGCCCATGACATGGCAAGCTCAAAACTAACACTTCGAACTTTTTCTAGTGACCTTCATGCATTTGAAATTAATTTCTCTCGGCGAGGCAAGGCGTAAGCCTAGAGGCGGTCCGAGGCGTAAACTCGAGGTGGAAAATAAATAAAATTCAAAATAATGTGTACACCAAATTATTATCACCAAACATACACACTATATATTTCTTGTGTTGTGCCACTGCTACTGGAATATATATATATATATATATATATATATATATGTATATATGTATGTATGTATATATATATATGTATATATATGTATGTATATATATATATGTATGTATGTATATATATATATATATGTATGTATGTATGTATG